AAAAAAAAAGCCAATGAATTCTTAGCCGACGGAGCCACCCAGGCGCTCCAAGGGTTGTTTTTTTTTTTTAAGTAATCTCTACACCCAGCGTGAGGCTCGAACACACAACCCCAAGATTAAGAGTCACTCACTCTACCAACTGAGTCAGCCAGAGGCCCCTCAGTTGCCTTTTTTTTAAGTTTTGCTTTTATCTCTTCTGGAATCGAACAAATCTAAAGGATGCAATACCACAAAAATAACTCATTCCGGTTTCCACAATTCTGTCATTCCCCCTTTCTTCTCTTCCTTTTCCTTAGTCTTTTGAGCTTTTCCACCTCAGTGCCTACTTCTTTGACCCCACACTTCCTCCACCATCTAGACAGACCCGTAGTTTCCCAAAGGAAGGCTGGTGCTGTATTCTTTTTTTCCTTTTTTTTTTTCTTCTTTTTTTGCTTTGTTTTTCTTCATGGCTGCCATCGTGCCCCACATAATGTAACACATCCTCAGTAAATATGCGTTGATGGGGTACTCTGTACGACATGAACATTACGTACCAAAGTGGATAGATTGCTCCTATCTTTCGTAACTATACAATCCCAAAACCTTATTTATTGTTTTGTTTTTTGTTTTTTGTTTTTCAGTATTCTCCTAACCTCTGAAAACCATCCTGCCCTATTTTCTCAGCTTCTCCCTTTCGGGCTGTTTCTCCTCAGCGCTGTTTCGGGGCGCAGGACAGACCTGCCTTTACCACAGTCACGCTCTTTCCTTCCCCTTCATTTGGAGTCGCGACATCACTCCACCCTTTCCTTAGCACAGTACTGATTTTAAAGGACTTTCCCGATATCACGTACTTCTCTAGGAGGCCCTGAGAAGTCCCCTGGGACTTTGGACTTCTTGCATCCTTGCATCCTTGACTGCCTAGTTCAGAAGCACTCCTAACTGACCCGCTGATGGTTTAAAAACTGTCTCACACTGGAAATCCAGGAGGGAACGTACTGCCTTTGTCTGTAGGTGATTTACCGTAAGCCAGAACTGCCCTTCTCCCGCATTACATCCTGTCGTAACAGGCAAAGACGATCTTGACCTTTCGGGGTTCTGCCTAAGGAACAGATCCCCTATCCAGGCTGGCAGAGCTCTTGGGACTATTTTCCATGGCCACAGAGTGTTTTCAGCTTCCTACTGAAGTCCATTTATTTCTCACCCCTGACTCTAGGGAGAAGATTGCCTACTTCACCAGAGCGAAGATAAGCATCCCGTCCCTGCCAGCCGATGATGTGTGATCACATCCCTGAAGACATTACGTTGTCTCCTGTTCACTCTTAGGGAGGGTACAAGACTGAACGTTTGTTTTGCTTCGGGGGGTTCTTTTTGTAACGTAACTATCAACTCTTAAAGAGCTTTTATTTCACAGCAGATTTTCAACATGTTAATTTGTAAAGTATCTTGAATGTAATTCTTATATGTTTAAAAAAGAAAAGAAATCCGATAACCAAAACAGGCTGATCTGGTACACGAACGTCCAGTACCTGCGTATTGCCAACGGGCTGCAGTTCATAAAAGTGGAACGGAGGCCGTGCCCCGTGCATATCCCAGTGGCCCAGCTGTTGAGAAATGGCTCGGTTTAGCAGAAGGTGATTTTTGCTTTTCCTTGGTTGTCCCACGAGCAGACTGAGGATGGCAGCCGGCCGGGCGGTATTTTTGTACCAAGGGGCAGCTCTTTGAGTTTGAACTCAAACGTGAGTACGGTTCCGGCTCCACCTGAAACAGGTGTCTGCGCTCCCGTCCGCCACCTGTGTCAGAGCCCCTCGTTTCCTTAAAACAACTTCCTTTTTGTCCTTTTCTTTGAGTCTAAAGAAAACAAACCACCGGAGCAGTGCTCCTGGCCGCGGGGAAGGCCTTTTGATGGGTCACCTCCTGAGCGGGGAGAGGAAGGGGGAGAGCCAGGGACCCTACACACACAAGTCACCTCCTCGGCGAGCACCTGCCGCCTCGGACGCAGCCCGGGCCCGCGTACGTGCTCCGAGGGCCGTGCCCAGCCTGCGCCCTTGACGCCGCGTCCTGGGCGTGAGGCTGGTGCCCCGCACGGCGCCGTGGTGGCCGGCGCTCTAAGCCCAGAGCGCGCGGGCGATGCGGAGGGAAGCGCGTCAGCACGCATCTGGTGAACCTGGGAGTCCCGATTGGATCAAAGTTGCCAAAAAAAAAAATTTTTTTTTTAAACTTTATTAAACAGATTTCTAACATTTACTAGCAACTATTTGGCAGCTCTCGTGTTTAGGGGATCCTATCTGTAATTTGTGGTGAGGAGGCCAAGAGAAGAGTGTGCCTGGGGACATTATTAACTTGAAATATCAGCCAAGGTGGTTGGTTAAGAAAACAATTCTAGATGATCTCGTGTCGAGAGGGGAAAAAGGCTCTAGGTCGTCCGTGTAGAATGTTAGCCCACCCGCCCCAGGCCCTGCTTGCGAGAAACGTATCTGCTCTGCCAGCATAAAGGCTTTTGAAGTAAAGAGTATTTGTGCAATTTAACTCATACTTATCATTCAGTCAGTTCTACTGGAAGAGGCACTTTTTGGTCAGCCATCTTACATAGCAAACTCAATCTTGGTGGTTTTGCTTTGTTTTGTTTTTTGAGAAGTACAAAAATCCTCTTAACGGAATGGATCCCTTAAAAAAATAATAAGTTCTATTTCTAAGATAGCATCCTCAGCAAGAATTCTTAAGTTTCTTGAAAGTAATTCTACATATTCTGGAAAGTTCGTTTTATCAGAATCAAAATTCGAAGTAAGCAATTTCTGAGCCGAGAACTTTAATTATCTCTTCCTAAGTTATCCCACCACTTTCATCTAAAATGTCTCCGAAGCCATAACTGGATGTGACACCACTCTGGACAAAAACCAGCCTCGCGACTGCGCACCGTCCTTCGAGGCCGCGCGGCCCATTCTTTCAGATGACTAAGGAAAACCAGAGCAGGAATGCCATTCCTCCTTGTCAAGGTCAAATGTGAAAGACAGAAGTTTATTTAATATAGAGCTAAATGAAGGTCAGCCGTTTTCAGCTTCGTAGTGTGGCCGTGAAAATGTTTATAGAATTATGTGTAGTCGTACCGTACGATTTTATTTTCTTCATTTATTTATTTACGGTCTTATTTATGTTCTGTTTAATATATAGTTCGGTTCTGGCCATTTTAAATGTTTGACCCAGAAGAGGCTATATTGGACTATTTACACCTTTATAAATCTTCCTCAGATTAGCAAATCACTCTTTGTCATACAAAAAGCTTCAGACCAGTATACAAGAATTAAATCTGTCTCAGGCTGGTAGTTAACAGTTGTGACCAAGATGCTTTAGGTTTTATTTCACAAAATGTGCTCCTTTCTAACATGAGAAACGAACTTATTTTAGTATAATCCTTTTCCACACTTTAAAAATCAGCAATAGTGTTATGTATTTATAGGCAGCTTTTCACAATTCTGTCATATTTGTACTAACCCAAATGATTCACAGTGACAAAACATTTTAATAACTTGATCACAAAACCGTATGAACAATATGAATTTTAATATTATAAATACTATTTTTTAAAGGTAGAATTTATTCTGCACAGGGTAAAAAGAATGTAATATTTAGGTCTCAAGTTTGAATTATCAGTATGTTATTATAATTTTGTATATCAGAATCTAAGTTGCAGGTACAAAAAAAAAAATATTGGTAGCCAAATGAACAAAGTTTAGCTGAATCTCTGTGGCATGCAAATCAAATTTAAAATCTTTTTTTTTCGCTATTACTTTATCTATATCGTATTAAATATCAAAAGCTCAGGACTGAACTAAATATTTAATCAGGTTAAATTCTGAATATGTTTCTGTTTTAATTTGTCTCGTTTGTAAAAGTATGCAAATACATCACATAGATTAACTTTGGTTTCTGCACTTTCCCTGTGTTTGTGGGTGGACAAAAGTTCGGTGGGTTTTTTTGTTTTTTTTTTTTAAACAAAGATGCATATTGCCTCATACTTTATTTCAGTGTCGTTTATTGCTTAATTTCCCTAATTGCTGCAAACAAGAGTTTTCTTGAGCCACGTACCGAACAAGTATAAAATCTCTCACGAGGAAATTCCCAACCCCGCAGTTTGCTATGGATAGTTCTTGGTTGGAAGATATGTATTGCTGAGAGGAATAAAAATGGCATATTTTCATAGTGGGAGCAAAAGAAGGGGCTTCCAAGGTGAGCTCTGGGGTCCCCGCCCATCCCAGCCTGTGCTCTGGTCAGCTGGCCGGGCCGTGGTCCCGGGAGCTTCTCGGTCAGTGCACCCCGCCCTGACCCTGAGTGCCCCCCGTGGCCGCTCACCGAGCCAGGGGTTGGCTGGGGTGTCAGTTGTCTGCAGAGCACAGGACACAGAAGCCAAAGCACACCTGTGGGGTAGGTTTTCCGTGACTCTTCCCATGCACCAGACAGCCCCCCTCTGCTTCTGCCCCGGTGAGGAAGCATGAATGAACCCGGCTGGCTCTTGGAAAAGGCTCCGTAGAGGCGCTGAGGTCTCCGAATAAAAAGGAGATGGCGCGTCCCACATCGCTTACCTCCCAAGCTTTCAAAGAACCAGCAAGTTTTTAGGATACTCTAATGACATTTGCAATCGATCTGCAACAAGACTTTAGTTTCAGTATAATAGGTGATCTTACACACTTAAAAGCAGTAGGCGATCAGCAGTAACCTTTCCAGCTGCCAAAGTGACCCGTCTCTACGAATGACACCTTCAAAGATACGGAGGCGCTGATATAAGGCTTTATTTACCGGTTCTGTGCAATCACTGAATCTATTTTAAAATTGAGAAAACTCATCCACAGTAATGAGTGTGATTACTATCGAGTCTTGAGTGGTTTTGGTCTCAGAATAGAAGAAGACAGTGGTTTACTCTCCTAGAAGGAAATTGCAATGTAAGAAGCCAGTAGCCACAGTGAAAAAAACAAAAAACAAGTGCATTTTAGAAAATTAAACAGCTCAGTGAACGGGCAGCTGTGCAACAGGAGATCCTACCAAACCCAGACAGGAGTGAGCTTCACTTGAAGAGTAGACGCCACTGATCCTTCCTGGCTTAGACTTTCAGATGGGCTTTTTTCATCTCCAGGTGCTGACGGTGACACTGTGTTTCTACCACCGCGTAGGGGCCCGGAGCCGGAACTGCCTGGGTAACGCAGGCCACGCAGTTCAGCAGGCAGCCTCCCAGGAGGAGGGAAAACCCAGCAGACCAGCCCAGAAAGAGGGCTTCCCCAAACTCCCACCGGGGCACAATCTCTGGCATGGTCTCATCCCAGAACTCCTGGACGGTCACGTGGGCGACCCAGGAGACCGGAACCAGGGTCGCGACGCCTGCTGCCCAGAACACGGTCCCTCCCAGGATCAGCAGTCCTTTCTTGAGGCCTGGCCGCGTCTCTCCGACCCTCAAGCAGTCCAGGCCGAACCCGGAGGCCAGCAGGCCCAGGAGCCCCAGCCCGTTGGACAGGAACATTAAGATCCTGGAGATCCTGAGTTCGGCAGGCAAAGCCAGGAAGGATTCAAAGTCCTTGCACTGTGTCCCCCCTTCCTCTTGGACGACACAGACCTGCCAGAGTCCCATGGTCCAGTTCTCCATCTCGTTTAAGTCCAAATTGAGGTTTTTCCATTGTGGCAGGTAGTTTGTAAGACAGGACAAAACCCATCCCAGCAGAGAGAGTGAAATTCCAGCTAATTGCGCCACGCTTCGAACTACTAAAGCCATTGCAGATCCCCAGGAGCTTGAGCCAAACTAACTCCTGCCTTTCGATCTCTGCGTGGGGACGTGTGACACCTTACGCTGTCACTTCAGAGCTCGGAAATATTTCTTCATTGTGTGTAGAGGATTCTTGCCAGAGCTGCTATTGTTTGAAAAGGTGTTGACTAGGTTTCAGCAAAGGATACAAGGAAGTAAGTCTGCCAACCAGTAATGCCCAGGTGTGGCCAGCACCGTGCCCGTGTCCTAGGAGCTGACTCCGTAGTAGCAGTTTGTCTCTGCAATAACATCAGGTAGGACCGATCCTCCTTTCCTCGTTAACATTGCTAGCTTTCTAGCGAGTCAAAGAGTGAAGGAGTCTCAACGCAAAATGTGTACCCGACAGCTTGGGCTCAGCTCCCACCGCTCGCTTTCTTAGCAATTACACCTGTCCAGATTGCCATCTGTTGCCGCTCTCCTGTTTCAATACGTACGTCGTGGTCATACCGGATGTTACCATTTTCTAAAAGTGAGTTCCAGAAAAGTATTTCTTACCGGAAATCTCTCTAGACCTTGCATCGGGTCTGTTCAGAAGACCCGTAAGCTACATCCACCACATAACATAGGAAGCAGTACTGAACTCCCAACCCCAAATACCCAGTCTACTTACCTACACGCCTTTTTGTCAGATCCGTGCACGTGTGCGTACGCACTTGTTATTTATTTATTTATTTTTTCCCCTACGTGGGCTTTCTGCATCGTGGAAAAGTTAAGCTGTAGGACTTTGTAGGTCAGCATGGACATCTCCCCTGGTTCACTTACTAATGTATGTATCCCCATGTCTGTCATTTTTCACTGAACCAAGGAAAGTTGTTACTGAGCAAACGAACTGTCACTATCTGGATAGCAAGCAAAATATTTTTGGAGTTGTTGATTTTATTATTTTTTTTTAATTGGAAACTTTGGAAGGGAGAGACAGGAGAGACTGGCCAGTATGTTGACTCTTGAGAGAATCGTGATATACTGAAAACCGTAAGCCCCCTAAAACCCTGTCACATAGGGTACCTAGTCGTCTCCTAGATGCAAACCACCTGTGTTCAAAGAAGACCAAAGTCCCTGTGGTGGAAATAATACTTTGGGACAGGCTTAACAGGGGATATTGCTAATGCAGAATGTTTAAAAGATCGCAGATTGGTTTTTTCCCTTAGGAAATAGAAACTAATTATTATTATTCCCAGCTATCAACAAAAGCAAAGTTCCTGATATAAAATTTAACACATCAAAGCTTAATTCTGATTAAAATGGACGGCCACCGCCACGTTTTGATTTAAATAACCGGGTCGATGAAATTATCTTTGCTCATCCCTGTGTAATGCTTCCCATGATAGTTTCCTTTTAGATATAAGACTTGCCTCTTTCTTACTTCTCCAGATTTGGGGAGGAAGAGGGGACCTAGGATCGAAAAGTAGTTACTTAATGAGAAACCGAGAGCAGCACAGATTTAATTACATAACAAAGACCCCTTGCTAGCATAGACCCCACTTCGCGGTTGATGTGGAAAGATGTCTTTCTGTTCTTGCCAAAGTCTTACACTCTCGGGTCTGCAGTTCCATTTTCCAGGTACAGACACTGAATTTGCATTTCTGCCACCGCATAGGGGCCCGGAGCCGGAGCGGCCTGGGTAGTACAGGCCACGCAGTTCAGCAGGCAGCCTCCCAGGAGGAGGGAAAACCCAGCAGACCAGCCCAGAAAGAGGGCTTCCCCAAACTCCCACCTGGGCACAATCTCTGGCATGGTCTCATCCCAGAACTCCTGGACGGTCACGTGGGCGACCCAGGAGACCGGAACCAGGGTCGCGACGCCTGCTGCCCAGAACACGGTCCCTCCCAGGATCAGCAGTCCCTTCTTGAGGCCTGGCCGCGTCTCTCCGACCCTCAAGCAGTCCAGGCCGAACCCGGAGGCCAGCAGGCCCAGGAGCCCCAGCCCGTTGGACAGGAACATTAAGATCCTGGAGATCCTGAGTTCGGCAGGCAAAGCCAGGAAGGATTCAAAGTCCTTGCATTGTCTCCCCACCTCCTCTTGGACGACACAGGCCTGCCAGAGTCCCATGGTCCAGTTCTCCATCTCGTTTAAGTCCAAATTGAGGTTTTTCCAATGTGGCAGGTAAGTTGTAATAATGGACAAAACCCATCCCAGCAAAGATAACGAAAGTCCAACGAGCTGCGTCGCCACTCTAAAGACTAGAGCCATTGCAACAAGTCTTACAACTTTGGCCACCCCTGTGGGAGTCCCTGTCTTTCGTGCTTCACAGTAGCGTGACCGTTTTGGTCCTATGCTGCCCGGAATATAAGCTTTGGCCATTAACTCTTTGGAAACTCTGAAATGCGTTTTTGTTCTTCTTGAATATAATGTTTCATGTAAAGGACGAAGGACCCTGTTAAAACTATGAGTTAGGCTTTCTGATAAGGATTTGATCTGTTACCTTCCAATTTGCTTGGTAAAATTATATCCCCAATGCTTGATGAGTATAAGTCTGAGGATGAACAAAGAGGGCTCTGTGACCCCTCACCCTAAAGTACAACAGAAATCTTTGTGCTTCAATATGGATTAATTAGATTTTAAGTGGTGATAAAAGGCTGGCTCTTTCTGCAACAGGACTTCATTGTCATAGCTGAATCTGAGGTTTCAGGGATGCAAAACAAGACCTTGTAAAGAAAGGTAGACTGTTTCCCTATAATCTTTATTCTCCTCGGACTTCCTTAACCTACACAAGGGCCTGGCCTTCCTTCTTGAGTGTCACAGGCCCTCAGTGGGGACTTGGCAGGAAAGTTGCCCCAGATTCCTTTGAAAGGTAGAGGCGGGTTCACTGGGTTCATTAAAATGAAAAAGACCGACGACTGATGCCCAAGAGGTGCTAAGTGAGGAGGGGAAAATCCTGGGAAGCTCTGGGTCTCACTCTTAAGATTTTCTCCATCCACATTGGGGACTTGGTTTTCCAAGTCCCACATTAGGGACAGTGTTTCTCGGTATCTGAGAGGCGTGTGTGTGTGTGTGTGTGTGTGTCCCTGTCCAAAGCTGAGCTGTGTTTGCTGTCATGTAAGCCACACAGACAAAGCACCACCAGGCAGGAAGACTCCCTACGGGTCCAACACAAAGGTTCTGTGAGAAAACAACAGCCACAAGGGGGCTGACCTTTGAGGCTTCATCTTGTTTGTTTTTTCGATTTAGGCCCCATCTTGAGAGCATACTTCTGCAGAGGGTGACCCCTGAGAGAATACAGGGCCTCCCAGGTGGGACAAGAGGTCACGTGCTCCAGATTCCCAGGGCTGCTCCAACCCCGCTCTGCAAGGGGCCCCGGGACTCCTGCACCCACAGCGGGAAGGTCGGATCTGACAGGCTTGTGGGGGGACAGGACAGGAAGGTTCCTCAAATGGAGCCGTTGCCCTGGAGGATTCTAACCGGCTGAAACAGAACCACTGCCCATCACGACCCAGTGGTTGAGTCTAGTCCAGGGTCAGAGAAGAGCTTTTATGATATTGCTCAATGGGAGATGGGAGAGAAACAGAACCCAGAGCCTGATGTAGCCAAAGAAAGCCTCAGAGTCATTAGGTGAATGGTGCTGTCTCGAGTATTTGCCATCATTTTATGTTAAAAAAAAGATGAGTTCTTAACTTTTACAAATTTTCAGAATCCCTTAAGTATATTGCTGTCCTCAATGAACTAAAAAGGTGGTTCCAGTTTGCACAAAGACGTAAGAGTCCACAAAGGGCTAGCGATTTGTCCTGAGCCCTTATCACCAGGAGCTGGGATAATGGTAAGCTAGGGCTTTCCTCCAGGCAGGTGGCCAGGATGCAGAGAGCTCTGGAGAACAACCATTGAGAGTCACGAGGAGATGATTCTGAATATCACAATGAGACGTGTGTGTGTGTGTGTGTGTGAGAGAGAGAGAGAGAGAGAGAGGAGAGGAGAGGGAGGAGATGGAATGGAATAGGCCGCCCTGGGAGGCAGTGACCCTTCCTTCCCAAGGGTGTTTTAAAAAGGCTAATTCTCACCTGTCCGGGCCACCTTGGGGGAGGTTTAACCGCTGCCATGCAGGGAGAGGAGGAAGGAGGCATGAATGTGTGACCCCTCAACTCCTTTATTCTTTCAGCATTTAGAAAAATATTTTCAAGCACCTCCTCCTGGCCAGACTGTTTAAGTGTGAAAGACACAATCAAGACCACGGTGGATGCAGGCCCCTCCCCAGGGGCTCGCATCCCAGTGGGAAGAAGCCATCGCGGAAACACGTGAGTAAAAGAATTCAGAGAAATACAAGGAGCGGGGGAAGTGAGTGCTCAGGGCGGGGAAACCCCAGTGCAGCATCCCTGGGACTGGAAGGTGCGAAGCCCCGACCCACAGCCGCATACGCCTGGGCCGGTGTGTGGGCTCCTGCTGAGGCCGCGCTGGTCCCGGAGTGGGTGTGGGGGCGGAATTTGGAAAACAAAATCACCAGCACGACGTTCAGTGAGTGGAGGACCACACGATCTCTGTCTCCCAAACATTAATCCGAAAACAAAAACCCCAAGGGCACCTGGGTGGCTCAGTCAGTTGAGCGTCTGACTCTTGATTTCAGCTCAGGTCGTGATCTCAGGATCGTGGGATCAAGCCCTGCGTCGGGCTCTATGCTGGGCGCGGGGCCTGCTTAGGAATCTCTCTCCCTCGCCCTCGGCCCTTCCCCCCCAACTCGTGTGCGCCGTCCGTCTCTCTCTCAAAAATTAAATGAATGAATGAATGAATAAGTAAAATTAAAACAAAAAGCCCTGTTTACCAAAAGTCACACACCTGGGGACACCTATCAGTCCAGAGCAAGTGTTGACGAATGTCCCCAAGTAAACCATCCGTAAATTTAGTTGCTTGAAAACAGCAATCACGTAGATGTATTTACTCACGAATCTGCAGTCTGGGACAACGGTCTCTGCTCCCAGTGATGTGAAGTGAGGCTGAACATCACCCTCACAGACAAGGCTGTCACAGGGGCCTGCTCCATCCTAGGAGAGGGACGGAGAGGCACCGTCTCTCGGTGGGGAAGCAGCAAGTCTCTGGAAGAACTGTGGGACTGGAGGTACTTTCGTGGCCATTTTCGGAAAACGGATCTGTCAATGCAGCTGTGAGCCAATCTAGATCGTAGGAGACACGTGGCAGGCATCACGTGGGGAACACGACCTTCCTTTCCCTCCTGGGTTTTATGTTTTCACGTTCAAGGTGAAGTCTGTGGTCGCAGGCAAAATGGGTTGCTTGCCCTGCCCTGCCTGCTGTCCTGGGACCTGCCGTCGGGGAAGGGAGCCCCTTCGAGGGTTCACGGGTTCAGCCTCACGCGTTTGGGCCCCCGCTCTGTGCCAGGCAGCACGTGAGAACCAGGGCTGGAGAGAGCGGTCGTCAAGCAAGACCAACCCAGAGAAGAAGACGGGATGCTGAACACCCTGATAGGGACAGCGCTGGGGCAGGATGGCTGTTTCAGGGGAGGGACGCCGGCAAAGGTGTCTGGGGGTCGCTCCCGAAAGACAGTGGGCCGGAACAGCTGGTGCCTGGCCGGAGATCGAGGGCGCCCGTCGAAGATGAGGCCGGGTCACGGGGCACCGTCATGCAAGCTAAATCATTTGGAGTTTAGAATAGAGATCATCAAAAGCCTTTGCAGGATTGTAAGCAAGGGTCATTTATGCACAACCTAACCGGTGGCCCCAGGGACGAGCTCCTTTGTACCATTAAGTCACAGACGCCCCGGGGGCACCCAGGTGGCTCAGTCGGTTAAGCGTCAGACTCTTGGTTTCAGCTCAGGTCGGCATCTCACGGTTCCTGGGTTCGAGCCCCATGTCGGGCTCCACACTGACAGTGCAGAGCCTGCTTGGGATTCTCTCTCTCTTCTCTCTGCCCCTCGCCCACTCTTTCTCTCAAAATAAATAAATAATTTTAAAAAG